CACGGCCCCCAAACCCTGTGCCGATTGATTGATTGTTTGGGATACGAATCAACCACCTAAGGTAGGCTGTATTGGATCACATTGAAGTTTCTGTATTCATTTGCTGGAATAGCAGGAAAATGCATTTGCGGCAATTAAATTTTGCAAATTTCCTCCAAACGGTCCTGTCTCCATTGACTGTAAACAATTGATTGGTCTTCAAGTCGGCCACCAAAGTTAGGCTATATTAGACCACTTTGAAATTGCTGTATTCACAGACTGTAAAAGGAAAATGTGTTAACGGCCGTCAACGTTTCCAAATTGTCTTGAGAGGGTCCTTCCTTCGCCTCTGGCAGACGACCGGTGTCGCCGATTGTAACCCGAAATTTTTTCGGGCATTTCAGGTTCTGCCCCGTAAGATTAATCAAACCCATACGACTATGGTTCCGGAGTTATGCCCCCTTTTCCAAAAAACCTTGTAAATGCTATAAGGACACAGATCACCAAATATTCCTACGCCGTCACCCACGAAACAAGGGCCAAAGCTATTTTTAGTCTTCCTCTCCCTTTTCCTTTTTCCCCCTTTTGCATGGCGATTTTTGTTGACTTTTTGGTCTAGAATCGAGGAAAAGGTTTTGAAAATACATTTTCTGCCAGGTTTTGGTGAATATTCATAATTTTGATGCGGAAGGATACAAGAGTTGAGAGGTTGGTTAGGTTGAAATGTAGGGCCTGAAATTGCATGTTTACTTGTCTCTACTTCCAGCTTGTGTATCTCAAGTTTTTCAGGAAGAACCTCATACATGTACGTGCTTTTGGGCAAGTGGTTGCCACATGTTGCTCCATCTGTGGTAGAAAGCGTTCTACCCAACGAAAATTTGGGAAAAAGTTAGAGCCGGTCTAAGATACGAGAATTAACATTGGAGTCAATGGGGAAATCTTTAGTGATCTGTGTCCATAAAGGCTATACTTTTTTAATCTTTTTCATATTTGGCTTGAAGCTTTGGGGTCATTGATCACCATCAATATTCATAATCCACAGTCATCCATTCCTGAGTTGGGGGGTTGGATGGCTTAATGGTTAGCATGTGCGCGCTGTATCATAAGACCTGTCATTGAGTCATCTGGCATGGTTTCGAATTCCCATTTGTACCTGACAAGGCAAGTGAATTATTGAAATATAATTAAACCATATGTTAGTCCCGAAATGACCTAGTTTGTGTTGAGTGGATGTTAAACCCCATTTCTCTCTCTCTCATTCCTGAGTTATCCCCCCCTCCCTTTGTCCGAAACCATTGGAGGGAGCAATTGGGTCAAGAGGATGTCACTATCTGCTTAACTTCACTAACTAACTGTTGGGTCAAGAGGATATCACTAACTGACTAAATGTAGGGTTAGGTGTGACAGAATGATGTTTTTAATATCAATAATCAGTTAGGTTTAGTGATTTTAATCTGCATTTAATATAAACCAATACCTGGTCCACTCACTACAAATTTAACCTTTGTAACTTTTCTAGTGAGTTCGGGGGAAGGGGGTGGATGGCTGAATGGTTAGCGTGTGCACGTTGTATCTTAAGGTCTGTCATTTAGTCAACTGAGGTGGTTTTGATTCCCCGGTTGGCTGTTTTTTATCGGCTTCAACCGCTTGAAGTTCAATCAAGCCGATTGGTAAAACAATGAACCGGCCACTATGGTATCATAAATCAATCTACTTTCGGCTAAATTACAACGGTTTAATTAGTACTTGTTAATTAATATAAGTAGTCAATCAACTTGCTTGTCGGCTACAATAACAGTCATACCTTAGTGAAAATCGACCATGTGGTTCATAATCCGAGTAATTAGCACAAGTAACCGTAATTTTGATAATCGGTCGTTAAAAAAACCAAAACAAGCTTGCTGATTATTCATAACAGCAACGCGGCAATCGAAGGAAGACGATCTCAGCATGGATTGTGCGTCTATTGCGAGCTTTCGACGCTTTGTATGAATTCCAGGTGTACATTTAGATATTAAAATAATAATTGGATCATAATTTAATGATTTCACTGACCAGTTGTTAGATAAATTTAAATTTTAGTTGAATATAATCCTCGGATAGAACACCGAATACACCGAGAAACAATCATTAATAATATATTATGATTCTCCAATGCCGAATTCCCGATGACTCATGATATTGGTTGGAATTAGGGCAGTAAAACAACGATGCTAGTTTTAGTTTTAAATTGCATTTACCATTATGATTTTTTATTTTATACACATGCTGACAGTGGCTTATTTTTTAGAAATATTGTCGTTATTATCATTGAAAGCTATATGGCACAGTAATATGGAATTTAACTTTAAAGCCATTTCAATTTTGGTTTTCTCTTCATCACTGTGCCGTGTGTTATGGACAAATGAATAAAAACATTTTAAAGTTATGTGATAGAAAAAAACCTACAAATTGTGTTATAAAGAAATACCAGGGTGCCGCATCAGCTTATATCCATCGAAAAAAAACCCGAATACAGTAATTTATTCAGGAATATTACTGACATGAATTTCAAGCCGGTACGTGAATTAAATATGGAAAATTTTCCTATCGATGTACATATTTGTCGTTATTTTTGTGCCAATTAAAGTAATTACATACAGTAGAATACGATATTCATCATAACAAATTACCCAGAATTATTTCTGTTGAAGCCTGGTTATATTAATGGGAATGGAAGCTTAAAATTTTAAAACCCAATTCCTACAGGGACCTCATCTGACCCAATTCTGGCCAGTTGGTTTCAAAATGGATTAAGAACCCTTGATTAGGGTCACCTGTCCAACCACATGGGTTTACTCCAGGTTCTCCGGTTTCCTCACACTGCAAGCGAATTAGTGAAATAAAATGGACTTAGTTTGTGCTGAGTTGAAGTTAAACTCTCTCTCTCTCGTCTCTCTCTCTCTCTATAAGTTTTGTATGATAAGGTAGATTCCTTTCTTCTCGTTGGTGATACAAAGTTTATGGTATATATCAGCGCAGGATTAACCATGGTGTAGGCCCTCTGGCCTTGAGCATGTGGGGGTCCCCAACCTAACACAAGTGACCTGTATGAATATAACTATATCATACCTAAGTGATAAATAATGGGGAGACCGTGATATGAAGAGTCCGATCCACAAAGGCCATAACGTTCCACATAGTCCAGGATTTTGAAAATATGATGGAGGGTCCATCCATGCTACTAGCTCACATAATGCCCCTTCCCCTCCCCCTCCCCTAACTTTCTTTGTTTAAAGTTTTTTTTACTTTGGCTGTAACCAAGAACAATAAATTATTCTCTGTGTGGTCATTTCAGCAAGGGTATTTGACCCTTGTCAACAGATGTTCGCTGCTATTCTATAGTTAACTTCCTGTTACCAGTTTTTATACGCCCACATTTTCATCGTCGTCGCCCGTCCGTCCATCCGTCACAATTTTTATCCGTTACACCTTAAGGATGGCTGAGTTCAAATGTCGTAAAAATCGGACCGAAACTGACAGACAAAATGGCCGCCCCTCGTTCGCAAATAAATAGTGTCAAAATATTGTGTATCACAGTTGTGGAACCTCTGGAGGTCACAATTTTCATCTGATTTTGATGAAACTTGAAATGTATGTTTATAACCCAAATATCTTGGTTCTTTTCCATTTTCAAACATATTGAATCGTAACTTCCTGAATTATGCCCCCTGATTGTACGAAAAAATCGTGTTTTTAGTTTGTGGTCCCTCTAGAGGTCACAATTATTATCCAATTTAAATATAAAACCTTCGAATATATCACCAATACACCGTAATTTTGTCAGAGTTTGAATTTCATGAAAATCGGACCAAAACTGCTTGTCAAAATACATGTAGTGTAAACATCTGGTATATCAAAGTTGTGGACCCTCTAGAGGCCACAATTGTGATCCGATTTTGATGAAACTTAAAACATATCTTTATATCCCAAAGATCTATGTGCCTTTTGATATTTGCACATTTCAGGCCATAACATTCTGGATTATTGCCCCTGATTGTACAAAAAATCACGTGTGTTTTTAGCTTGTTCTCTATCCATTTCTTGCAAAATGTGGGCGTATCCTGCCTGGCAGCCGCTGTTATCTTTTTGGAGCATGGACCTTATAATACTATTACAAGGTCCATGTTTAGAGGCAAATGTTTGTCTATTTTGTCAAACATACATTATGCAAGAGCTAAATCTGCTTATTGCAGGTCTTTGTTTGGGCCTGAAATGTTATCTAAATTATTAATTATTAACATGAACAGACCTTAATCAACTCTCAATGCCATTTCATGTGTCTGATTTCACTGGATTTTCACCTCCAATTTTCAAATGGATAATCAAGACTATGTTTTTTATCGTACCGACTTTAGTAATGATGATCAAGGCTAGGCCTGAAATTCATACGCTAATATCTCGGATCAGAGTGGAGCAATTTGACTGAAATGTTCAGCATATTCCCTTTACATTATCTAGTTTTAAACTATTATAGTGAGAACTGCCAGTTCCAATCTCCCATAATGCCCCTTTCACTATTTATGTGTATTTTATCAAATTTATAAAAACTATTTGCACACTGAAGGAACCATAATATTCAACTGATGACATACTTATTATTTTTAACTTGCAACTGCATTCTATTTTATTTTTTGGTGTAATTATAGTGTTCTTCCTATATTCTACTTGTATAATGTATATGTTTTTGTAGTTTGGGAGTTTGAGAGTGACTTATCAAACTTCCCACTTTAAAATGCTATTGCATTTCTAATGATTTTAAATTTATCCTGATATTACATGTATATATGTCTTTGTAGTTTAGGAGGGACCTATGGAAGATTAGGTTTTTTTTGCAAACTAAATACGTTGCCTCATTAAATAAAGTTTTTATTATTGTTATAATGATTATATAGTTGAGAAGGAGAGGGGGTGGGGGGGGGATAAAAACAAAATGATCTTAGTACAAGGGAGGTTACTGTGTATGTTTTTGTTTTATTCAGGTTCAGTTGGATTGCTATAAACAAGGGAAGTAACTGTGTCTGTATTAATGCTTCAGCAGACCTGACATCATTAACTCGAGATGAGAGAGGCTGCACAACCAGGTAATAATTACACGTATATCACACTGTTATGTCTGGTGTAATGGTCGAGAGCGGGACATTAAGTAATATTCCCCGGTTGTACATGACAAGGAGTAGGGTTGCCTGTCCAACCTTGTGGGTTTTCTCTGGGTCCTCCGGTTTCCTCCCACTACTAAAGACCCCTACACACAAGCGAATTATTGAAATAAAATTAAACCATGTTAGTCCCGAAATTACCTAGTTTGTGTCGAGTGGACGTTAAACCCCATTTCTATCTCTCTCTCTATTAAGTAATATATTGAAACAATACGAGGGGTGTTAGTCTTGATCTGATGTTTCAATATATTACACCATATCTTAAGCTCGAGACCATTAAACAACTTAATTTACAGACACTCACACATGCTTTGCAATGAGATACGTCACGCAGGTCCAAAATTTCAACCAGTATAAATAATGTATGCTTGGCACATTTCCCGTACTGTTATTTGAAGTAATGGTACGCAAACATCAAAGGATGACGTAAACATCAAAGGATGACGTCACCTCCATATTTTGAATTAGGAGACAAGAGGAGACAACTGCGGCTGGGCTAATGAAGACGATCATACACCATACCATGTTCTGTGAGGGAAATTTTGCCTGGATAACGGCGCTATGGCCAACTCAAATTCCCGCTGTCAAGGGTTTTTTTTACGGGCATATCAATGTGTATACTGGACCTCAGATATTCATCCCATTCAAATGGCTATAAGTTGTTTTTTGCCAAGTCCTCAGTACTGCACCACTGACAAGGGGAACCACACCAGAAAATCCAGATGCACTTTCTCGTTTAATACAGCAGTCGAACATTGGACCTCAAACGTCTTATTCACTGTACTGAGATATGCATCCCTGACTTTTTAATGACATTTTGAGGAAACCCTACATTTAAATACTGCTCTGTGTGATATGAGGGAAATTTTGCCGTGACAGCAGTGTACAGCCTACTCTTGTTTTAAATTCCAGCTGTCAAGGATTCTTTTACGTGCACGCCAAAGTGTACACCAGACTTCAGTTGTTGTTTTTTTATCCCAGCTGAAGAATTATACACTGTTGCTTGCCAAGCCCTCCGTCCTACACGACTGACACTAGGGAATCTTGCTGATAAACTTTTTCGGACAATGCAAGGATTGAATACAGGACCTCAAGGTTAGCAAAAAAACGTCTTAGTCACTGACCGACCATGCCCCACCCCCCCCCACCCAATTGAAGACCTGCAATAGACAGATTTAGCTTTTACATAATGCATCTATAAGTATAATGTGGACCATAGACTGGAAATTTAAAAGCTACATAGAATAATAGCTGCACTGTACTGTTCCTGTTTGGAACAGAATGTTGAAATCTGTGATATATTCAGCTAATTTTATAACTGATGGAAAATGGCCAAATATAATATTATACATGTAGTTTGTATAAAAGTGTTTTGGTTTTGCAGCCATGTTGTAATGATATCGACATTATATGGTGTTTATATAAATTATAAAACTTTGCGATCATGCGAGCCGTAAACCACCGCCCAAGTGAGATTATGTAACATGTTGTTATTTCACATGGCTTAAACCACCTTGATAGATTCTATTGTGTTTGGTTTATTTGGATCAAGTTTTTATTACTGGTTTCAGGGTCAACAACGTGTTGAATTTGGTTTCTATGGTGATATCACCTGGACAACCAAGAATAAATAATAGCATGTTGCAGACAATCAGTTGGTTGGCTTTTTTAACAGCAGGTTGTTGCTTCTTCTGCAGACGTATATAAACAAAAATATTAAAACCATTTAACGGTACATGTACATAGAGGGTGTGGTCATCATACCTCAGGGGACTTATGCAAGAAGATGGGTGGGTGTGGTCATCACACCACAGGGGACGTGTACAACAGGACAGGTGGGTGTGGTTATCAAACCACAGGGGGACTTGTACAACATGACAGGTGGGTGTGGTCATCAAACCACAGTGACCACAGGGGACTTGTGCAACAGGGTGGATGTTATCATCACACCACAGGGGATTTGTGTAACAGGACAGGTGGGTGTGGTCATAAACCACAGTAGTCGGGAGCATCAAGACCTTCTCTTGAGGGTTTATGGCGTGAACAAAACAAAAAATATGACATGCTAATAAATTCTGTTTAATTTACAAAGCAAGGCATATCTTATAGAAATATGACAACCTTTTAAATTTTATTTAATTTACAAAGCAAGGCCTATAAGCTATCTTATAGAAATATGAAAACCTACTAAATTCTATTTAATTTACAAAGCAAGACAAACTAATAATTTCTATTTAATTTACACAGCAAGGCCTATCTTATAGATTCTATTTGATTTACTATACAAGGTCTAACTTATAGAAAATAATCCTTTTGTTTTGTTGGGTAAAATCTGGTAGTTCTATTCTTTGAAACAATCTAAAACAATGTGTCATTAGGTCTGTCTGTCACTGAGTCGAGTCAACTCAACTGGCGTGGTTTTGATTCCCCGGTTGTATGTGACAAGGAGTAGGGTCGCCTGTCCAACCTCGTGGGTTTTCTGCGGGTCCTCCAGTTTCCTTCCACTGCTAAAGAATCCTACATGCAAGCGAATTATTGAAATAAAATTGAACTATAGTGCCAAAATGATGTAGTTTGTGTTTAGTGGACGTTAAATCCCATCTCTCTCTCTCTCTCTCTCTCTCTCACACACACATTTTCCCTACTTTTCAAAATTCACTTTTTCTGTGGATCAAAGTCACGTTTAAACATGAGAAATCAGATTATTTGACATCAATTGTTGTCTTTGCACCAGATTTATATTTTGTAAGGGATTTCGGGAATGAGTGCAAGGTTTTATAAACCTAAATCTGGGATGAATTAAGGTCGGTAATATCTGGAACTATTTTTCGTGAGGTGGCCATGTTATTTCATATGGATTTTATTTTGTACTGAATTTCTTTCCTACAAGGTTTTTTGTGATTGTCCTATTTATGACATGATCCAACATCTGGACTTTCTTCATGATCATAAAAACTTTAAGGGCTGAATGCTCTAATTCTACTTTTAACAAACACCAGATTAAAAAAAGGTAATAATTTTAAACATACATTACGTAAGAGATAAATCTGCCCATAGCAGGTCTTTTTTGGCCATGAAATGTTATATAAACTATTAATTAGACATTTATTAACATGAAAAGACCTTAATCAACTCTTGATGTAATCTTATGTGCCGGATTTTCACTGGATTTGAATCCGATTTGCTGCTCGATGCTCATTGATGATTTAATCCAAAAATGGATAATCAAGACTATGTATTTTATCGTACCAACTTTATCGTAATGATCATCGAGGCTAGGCCTAAAATTCAAGCGCTAATATATCGGTTTAGAGTGGAGCAATTTGAAATTTTCAGCATATTCCCTTTACATTATGTAGTGTTTAACTATTATAGTGAAAATTGCCAGCTCTTTATCTAATCTCCCATAATGTATCCTTAATATTAAGTTCAGGATCTCATTTAAAAAAGGAGTCAAGAAATAAATTATTACACTGGTTACTGTTCATGAAGGAGGGTTTAAAAATATTATCATCATCTACATCATGTAGATATAACCTTTGACCTCTCTGATAGTTCTCTCCATCATTCAAAGATTATAAAAAAAATACTATGACATACAATTTAATTTTCTCTCCTGTCTTTCATACTGTCCGTGCCACAAACTCCAGTATAAAATTATTCTCGTATACTTACTCATGTTCTTAAAAACAAATCAAATCTAAAAATGTGAAAATAAAATAAAGTGTTAATTTTATTACAGTACTTAGAAGAATTGATGCTTCATTTCGCGAGGGCTTCATGTTTATAAGGGTTCCATAAAGGGCTTCATGGTTATAATGGCTCCATAAAGGGTTCATGTTTATAAGGACTCCATAAAGGACTTAATGTTTATAAGGGCTCCATAAAGGGCTTTCTGGTTATAATGGCGTGGTTTCAATTCCCCGGTTGTACATGACAAGGAGAAGGGTTGCCTGTTCAACCTCGTGGGTTTTCTCTGGGTTCTCCAGTTTCCTCCCACTGCTAAAGACCCCTACGCACAAGCAAATTATTGAAATAGAATTGAACCATATATTAGTCCTGAAATGACCTAGTTTGATTCGGGTGGACGTTCAACCCCATTTCTCTCTCTCTCTCACTTTCATTTCACTAGGGCTTCATGTTTATAAGGGCACCACATGAATACTGTTGTTTGACCACGACTATATACAAATTATCATGTTATAAGGGTTCCATGACGGGCTTCATGGTTATAATGAATACTGTTGTTCGTTATGACAACTGACTTTACAAATTATCATGTAGAATGTACAAGTAATCTGATGAAACCTTTCAATCTAAAATTGTATTTATATGAAAGTTATTTTTATTTTATGGTGGCAGAGATTAATTTAATTATGTCATGGAGTTGAGTGGCGTGGGTTTCAATCCCAAGCGTAACCTTGACAAGGGAGTAGGGTCGCCTGTCCAACCCTCGATGGATTTATTTATGTGTTATCCTGTTTCCTACCACTGTTAAATTATTGAAATAAAATTGAAGCATATGTTAGTCCCAAAATGATCTAGTTTGTGTTGAGTGAACATTAAACCCCATTTCTCTCTTTTACACCTATATTTATCGTATTATGTTTGAAAGATTTATATGTTAACCTTGTGAATGCTCTATCATTAAAAATTATCATCTTATCTGCTTTTTATTGATATTCATGTTTAATTTGGAAGGAAAAAAGATTTCATGTAAAATCCAACCTGATGTTTGAGTGTCAACAGTGAACATTTAACTAAATGTGAGCATTGAATGACTGTGATATGAAAAAGACCATTCTCTGTTAATCCATAGTTATATAATAAATAAAGTATTTCTAGAAATGCCATACAAGTTTTTGTAATATATTGTTACCATGGCAGTTAGTAATTGAACTGAAAATACACAAGAAATAATTTTATGGAATACAATATCATTTTAAAAAATTGTAATACAATCAATGTTTATTGCTGAGCGTAATGTCCACTGGGCTTCTCTGGTCTTTTTCAAGAATTGCTAAAATATGATGGGATATTGTTTGATTTTAAAACAGACCTTTACAGCAAGGAATTTTCATTTTCACCTGGACATTTCCCGATGTAGTGATACAAGTATTGATGTTTGCCTCCTTTGCGCAAAATTTTTTCTTCGTGTTAGGCCAGCAATTTTTGTTAATCTTTCGAGAATTTTTAAATAGCATCCAGGTACCTGTTTCACAAAATTTTAACTTAGATAAAATCAAACTTGAAGTATCTACTTAAATTTGGATTTTATCTTTTGTTAAAGATTTCGAAAAACATGGCACAGATTTTAGAGATTAGAACAGTTCAGCCATATTTTGATTTAAGCTAGAAATGGAGGAGCGAGACTTAGCTTCGATCAACCAGTTCAGTGGATGAAATTATTGCACACGTCTTGTCAAACTTTCAAAGGCTAATATCTTCGCTCGCAATAGAGTAATTTGAATGGAATTTTCAAATTACTTATGATACGTTATCTATTTTTGAACTATCATAGTAAGAATGTCTAGATCTTTATTTAAATCTTACATAATGTATCTTTGATTCAAATGTTTATTTGATTTTTTTTAGATGTATTGGAGATATTGGGGATATAGGTCTACCATGTGGTGGACCAGATGGAGCGTGGAGTATATACGAGGCAGACGGACCATATATCCAGAATGTCGAAGCCTCAGTTGAGTCTAATTGGATTGTGATTGGTCAACCTGTCGTACTGGATGCCTATGTTGACCTCGCTAGTTCCGCTAACATTTCTATTGGTAAGTCTTTCATACATTTTTTCTAAATGAAATGTGGGTTCTACTCTAACTGGGTTAATGAAGACATACATTTATTCTATATTTGAGATCATTTTTCCATTATAAGAAATGTACTGAATTGATGTTTAAGTATTGAACTTTTTGTCTATTTCATTTAGGGGGGTTGGATGGCTGAATGGTCATTGAGTCAACTGGCGTGGTTTCGATTTCCCGGTTGTTTGTGTCGAGTGGACGTTAAACCCCATTTCTCCCTAACCCTAACCCTGCTGTCCGACCTTACTACAGTTCAATAGTCCTTTAGTTCAAAAGCTCTTGGGATTAAATTTCTATATATGTTACCAGATTAACTAGAAATTTGTCTGCTCACTATCCAAGTTTGTTGTGTTTCAACTTCGGCCGAATCGACAACCAAAGAAAATAATCATCTCACAACTGCTTTTATTCTTCTATCAAATCAACGGGTCGGATCTTTTCATTTTAACCATATCTTGCCCTCAACCTTCCCTTCATACACAAATCTACGAGATAACTGTCGCATCTTGTGTTTATACCGTTACAAGGTCCTGTATATCGTACCTTGGGTTATGAAAATGTATTGAATAGGGATTATATGATATACCCGACCCCACCCCTTGACTTGTTACACATGTCACCCTTGACTATTAACACGATTATTGCTGTAAGTTGAACCGTGTGATTATAAGAGAAAACAGATCCCCTAACACTTCAACCACAGAGCTGTCAATCACTTGATTCACAAGGCGTGACATTGAAACAACCCCCTTATATCTATTACCTCTTGTCTCGGGGGGGTCAGAGGTTAACAGCGAATCTTGTTCATATTGTAAGGGGATTATAAAGGGATTATTAAGGTGTAATAACCGTGACTGATTAAGTAGGAGATAAAATGATAATAATAGACGTGTAGGTGATTAGCTCAACTTTAAGTCGTTATTATCCCAGTATACCTTTCACTATACACCCTAGTAATTGATTTTGAGATGTATACCCTGATATGTTCTTACAGGTTTTCATATTGTTCTTCTGGCCCCGAGTTCACAAAACATTCTCAGACTTAAGTTGAGAATTTACTCAAAATTGTTCACCTTATTTTAACTAAAATATAGCCCTTTATAATAATTTTGTTGTTTGAATGTATCAGATACATCAATAGGAAACTATATGCAAAGTTTTGTGTTTCTGCATCAAAGATATTTCTCATAAACAGTGATTGAAAGTTGAGCAAATTCTCACCTTAAGTCTGAGAATGCTTTGTGAACTTGGGGCCAGGTTTTCATATTGTTCTTCTGGCCCCGAGTTCACAAAACATTCTCAGACTTAAGTTAAGAATTTACTCAAAATTGTTCGCATTTTATTAACTAATATATAACCCTTTATGAAACTTGTGTTGTTTCAATGTATCAAATACATCAATAAGAAATTTATGTGCAAAGTTTTGTGTCTCTGGAACCAAGATATTTCTCATAAGCAGTGATTGAAAGTTGAGTAAATTCTCAACTTAAGTCTGAGAATGCTTTGTGAACTTGGGGCCAGGTGTGTTTCAGAGGGTGGTGGTAGGAGATCCTTCCCATGTGTTTTAGAGGGTGGTGGGGAGGACCCTTCCCGTGTGTGTTAGGAGGCGGGGCCCTTCCCGTTTGTTTTAGAGGGTGGTGGTAGGGGCCCTTCACATGTGTTTTAGACGGTGGTGGTGGGGTCCCTTCCCATGTGTAATACATGTAACTCTTCAACTTCCAACAGTCATTTTGTTTAGTTGTATGCCGTCTTTAACAACTATAAACTTCCTTCCTACCTCTTCACACCAAACATGTAATGTCACTTTTTGTTACCAGTCAGTGTTATTCATTAAGGGCTGGTAACACCTCCGAATCAATGTTATTTATTAGTTCGTACTCAAATAATAGCCTTCCCTACCTGCCTACAAGTTTTTTCAACCAGACCGTTAAGGGTTTGCTGATAGTTTCATAAAAAATGAGAGTTAGTTTCCAAAGAAGGAAGTTAGTTATACAAAATGGATGTTTGGTTTAGTGAGTTTATATATTATGGCCCCAAGTTCACAAAGCATTCTCAGACTTCAGTTACAAAATTACTCAACTTTCAATCACTGTTTATGAGAAATATCTTTCATCCAGAAATACAAAACTTTGCACATAGTTTTTTATTGATGTATTTGATACATTAGAACAACAAAAGTTTTGTACATGTAAAGGGCTATATTTTAGTTAAAATAAGGTAAACAGTTTTGAGTAAATTTTTAACTTAAGTTTGAGAATGCTTTGTGAACTCGTGGCCAGGAGTTTGTTTTAAAATAAGGACCATGTTTATAGATAAGGAGTTGTTTATAACATTTACTGACCTATTGTCAAGTGCTATAAATCATACAATATTACAGTTTTCACAAGAATTCTCTAGTTTTTGTGGACTACAATATTACAGTTTTCTTATGAAGATGCTTAATAAAGATGAAATAATGCTAGTCGAAACCTCGCTAGTCGAAACCTCGCTAAGTAATAAACATTATATCATCTTCAATTACTGAATGCCATTTAGTGGCAGACAGACTTAAAAGTCTGGCCAATATTTCGGATTTATCGTTAAATTGCTAATTTATCCTTAAATTTAAGAATTTATCATTTAATTTCAGAATTTATCATTTAATTTCAGAATTTATCATTAAATTTGAGAATTAATCATTAAATTTGAGAATTATCGTTATATTTGAGAATATATCCATTAAATTTGAGAATTTAGAATTTATCAATAAATTTGAGAATTTATCAATAAATTTGAGAATTTATCAATAAATTTGAGAATTTATCAATAAATTTGAGAATATATCATTAAATTTGAGAATTTATCATTAAATTTGAGAGTTTATCATTAAATTTGAGAATTTATCATTAAATTTGAGAATTTGTCATTAAGTATAAGTTGATGTATTGGCTTTTCCATGAAGTATTTATTTAGAGTACAAAGAGGTTGTAATTGATATGTTTGTAGTTGGTTAGAAAGATGGTGGGCGTGGCACATCTTCAAATAGTCATCAATTCTCCACATCCTGCCCTTCAGCCATGCTCGTATGTCTAGCACTCTCGTGAACCCAGGTTGATTGGTGTTAAGGACAAAGAGTTGAAATATGTTTCTTAAAGAGCCACGCTACCCTCAGATCAAATGGTAGAAGACCACAGATCTTTTTGTTAAAAGGAGTAGAGTTACCTGTCCAATATCGTGGGTTGTCTCTGGATCCTCCAGTTTTCTCCTACTGCTAAAGACCACATACGCGCAAGTGAATTATTGATATAAAATTGATGCATCTGTTAGTCCCAAAATGACCTACATGTAGTTTGTGTGTGTGTGTGTGTGTGTGTGTGTGTCTCTCTCTCTCTCTCTCTCTCTCTTTTTGTTAAATTCTTTTTTTCTGGCCAAATTAGGTGGTGCACTTTATAACTGTGTTGTTTGTTTCGTCTTGTTTTATATTGTACAGTTCTCCTGCTTTGTCTGGTAGAGTTTAATATCTTGTATGATCTTTAAAAAAAAAAAAATTAATTGTATAGAAGTTGATCATGACATATAGCAACATAGATAAAGACTGATCAAGTGTTTGACTTGTATACTAAATCATTGCATGAAATTATAATGGGGTTTAACATCCTACTGTTCTGCTCCTACTGGGCTAATGAAGACAGGCATACGCCATGTAGTGGGCTACGAGGAAAATTATCAAATTCAAATTGGCATGGGTTCTTTTTCGTACAGCGCACCTCTCCATCCTGAATCTCAACACAATTTGAGACCACTCCGGAAAAACCCCAAGGAACTATGCCAACATTTCTATAAATTTATGGAACCACTGATCGAGTTTGTCCCAGGGAACTACTAATGTGTTTGTTGCAGGGCCCACAAATTGGCAAATCCGACCCATGGCATCTTTTTAATCTGATTGTATCGAAGCCAGGAGATTTATCCAACACTGACATTGAGTCGTGGAAAATTTGAAATTTCTGAAAAAAGCCATGGAATTCAATTATTATGAATGGAAATATTTCCATCATTTTCAATCTGTTTAAAACACCGATCCTATTTCCTTACGTTTTCATAGTTCAAAATTTCATTTTATTTGTCTTTACTACACTAGGATCTGGAAGAATTGTTATATAACCCACGTTCTAAATGAGGTGCATAGAACTGGGGGTAGTCCACAATAAATATCAATGCTGATTAGTTAATCAAATGTCTAACGTCATAGGGTCAAAAGCCGCTCGTATGACCTGATGCAACCTTCCACTACAACCGGTCAGATCTTCATATAGTAGAGGCCATCGAAAGCAAAAAAAAAAAAAGAAATATAGATTTGTACTTTAATCAGATTGCATCTTTTTAGTTGTTTTGAATTTTTTTAGTTAAACTTTTGTAATTTAATATTTTGATGTTTTCAATAAATATTTTGATGTGTTTTTTTTTTGTAGAATTATCAAGATATAAGTGGTTGAGAACGATCAACGTAACGTGGGTTATTGGAGATGAGATATTATATAAAAATGAGACAACAGATGAAGTGGGACTTGGTCTTCGATCCAGGTTAATACATCCCTTCACAGATGTTGGATTTTACACGTTCGGTAAGTGCAACTAAAACTCTAGATTTACCATGTTCGGCAACTTCAACTAAAACCCTTGGTTTTCCATTTTCGGCAACTTTAACTAAAACCCTCATCAAAATCGGATAAAAGTCTTGATCTCTAGAGGGTCCACAAGTTAAAAAAAACATGATTTTTCGGCAAGATCAAAGTATTGATGACAACACGGGCCATACTGTGCACGCTTGCCATCTTAATTTTTTAGTACCCAGAACAACTCCTTTCGATGAAATTTTATCTTGGACGCTACTCTACATTGTG